ACGCAAAACCCTTGCGTTTCAGGCAAAGATGGAACCTTACTGGCAGCGTTTGCCGGGTTGGGGATGATCCTCTTAGTGCTGCTCCTCTACATCAAGAACAAGGGCTGGTGGTGGGGCACGGTGGGCGGAGTCACCCTAACCTGTTGCGATGACGCCTGTCCCCCCATAGCAACCAGAGCTGTCCCCAACCCACTGGTGGCTCATGAGGCCCGCGAGGCCAACCATTCATCAAGAAACAAGTTGGGTAAGAGAGTTCATTTGGTTTAGAATGGTTGTTTCTATGCAGGTCGAACGAAGACAAGTTTGCATGGGAATCTTCTGTGATTAAAGCTCGTTCAGACGGTGACATCTAATTCAGTGACAGTAGCTAGTGTCACACTAACGTCACGACACTGTGACATTCAACTGTTCAGATAATGACACTGTTGTGRACGACATTAGATGTCACCGTGTGAACGAGCTTTTACTTTGCATATTTACGGCGTTAACGGCTCTTACACTGAGCCGTTATTTCGTCTCACAATTGCATAAAGGCCAACATTTGCCCTAGAGGCAAAGTTGTACATTTTTTGAGCACTGTATATCCAAAGCGACGCTCTGAGCCGATGCCTCCGATACGCTACGCACTAAGATACGATTTGCGACGAGTGTGAGAGAGACGTAAGGAGTCGAATGGGCTCGAGCGGCGCCGATTGTTGCTCGCGTTATACACTGAGGAAAAATTGAGCTGAAAGCGCGAGATTGCAAAAGTGAGCCACTGTGGTTGGTGGCAGATTTTTTTTTTAAATCGTGCTAAACTGTTGTTTATCAGCGCACTTTTCCGGTGCGGTCGACCTTGCAATGAAGAACCTCATTAGTTAATGCGCTCCTGAATCCGAAGCAGTGGAGCGCGATTAATGGCCCAGTTTGTGCGTTTTCTCCCTTGTTGATAAGTTCTATATTGTTGAGGCGGATTCATTTTTTTTACAAACTTTTTTTTGGGTATTTCGCCTGAAATTTTTTTTTTTTGTCTTTAAAAAAGACAGAATTTCCTCACGTCTTTTATTACAGATTGATAAATAGTGCTCCTGTAATAAAAGACATGAGTAAATTCCGTCATTTTTAAAGACAAAAAAAAAATTCTCCCTTGCTGCCGTAAGTGTTGTAAAGTCTTCAAACCGATTTTTTCTTTAAGTAAAAACCTTTTCCTTCGATGGCGGCGAGTCCAGCTCCGAATCGGAAATGGGGTGCTCACGAAGCCGCCACAACTCGGACGTCCCCTCGTTGGGCCCCCCCAGCCAGTTCCTGCCTCAGCGCCACGACCTGATCTCCCTGGTGGAGAAAGGGCGCATGGGGATGAGCAGCAACAGCTCCTGCTGCAGCTCCACCACCAGCTCGTTGGGGGAAAAACACGGATTGGCTCCCACTAAGGTCACCGCTGAAGTCAATGAGGCTCTCCGAAGGTGCGCCTTAGCAGCCGCACTATGCTTCAGCCAAACCACTATTGCTTTTCAGAACACCCGATCTGAGGGAGACTCGAATCGACAATCAGCTCTACTCCAAGGTGGAGAGCGCCAACCTGCCAGAGCCGGCCGACATCAGCCGCAACCGGGACGTAAGTAGATATAAGCGACAATTTTTGAGTGCAGTCTAACCAGGTTTTCCAGTGCATTGTCGTTATGCATCCTGAATGCGAAGAACGCGCAGAAGATGTGGACGTCGATGACACCATCACGATAGCCTGCGAAATGGAGGCAAAAGAAACTGCAGATCAAGGAGGACGGTTGAATCGCTGCGGTCACCTAGAGGTGGCCCTCCTCTATGACGCCCCCATGCGGAAGATGACTGTTCATGTGCTACAAGCGCGGGATATTCCCAGTAGGGATAGAGGACAGCCCACCAACACTCAGGTGAGAAGGTGTTTGCTCGGTAACACTGTTTTGAGTTGTTGCCGCTCTCTGAGCTAATGTTGCTGTTGGTTTTAGGTGCGCCTGATCCTGTTGCCGAGCAAAAAGCAAAAGCACAAAACCAAAATTCGCTCCGGCGAAAATCCCCAATACATGGAGAGTTTCCTGCTGCATCGCGTGAATCCAGGTAATGTCCCTCGTGTGTCTTGTATGGGTTTTGCATGGTTTGACCGGCTTTAACCGAGCAGAAGACGTGAACTCGATGGGGATCAGACTGCGACTGTATGGCTGTGAGCGGATGCGCCGCGAACGACTTATTGGCGAGGCCGTTGTGAGCTTCGCCAACATCAACCTGGAGCTGGAGAACAACTTCTGGTTGACCATGGAGTCCCGCTCCAACACCACGGTATGTGAAAATCTCCTCTACGAGGTACTACTTTCGATTTCTTATTCTGTTTGGCGGGGTTTCGGAGCAAGTTGAACTAGCCCCAAAACGCCCTCTATATGTCTATATGTGCAGAGCAGTAGGCTGCGCACCTTCAGTGTCCTCGTTTTTTAGCTCTAACTCACTCTCTCTGCTGTTGGTGGTGTGCTGTTTTACGTAGGTATAAGGAATGTTGTGGTTTATTTCATCGACGGCCGAAAATATCGGCTCAGTCTCAACATTTTCCTCCAGAGGTACCAAGTAACTTTTCTCCCATTTTTTTTTTCGGTGAGGTTTGGGAAATGCTCTTTTATGCACTCCCAGAGCTGGTGGTCTGTCGCTTTGGGTTGTGTGGGACTCCAGCTAAGCTGTTTACCAACTAAAACCCTTTCCTCGCCGCCGAGGTGGTGTTTAGCCTTGCACCGCTGTCATTTCTGTCCTATTGTGCCTTCGTATTTTACTCCCTCATTTTCCCTGTGTATTCAATGAATTCCAGAAGAAGCTTGGGGGGAGTTCGCATGATCTGGTCTGGTGGAATTTCATCCCCTCCCAGGAGTCTTCGTATACCTGTTGCATATGACGAGCAGTGACACATTACATGCAGAGTAGTTTTGTCCTCTAATTTGCAACCCCTGCAGGTCGGTTGATCGCTCAGTCCCATCCTGAAGAGGTGTTTTTTGCAGGGGGCGTGTCCTGTTAAAAAGGCCA